GGGAAGAATATATTTGGATGTGAGGGAGACACGATGGATGAAATGATAGGTGTCGGTTTGAAAAAACAATAATCTTGCTTGTACAACATTGGGTTACATCATTACGTATTTACGTGTACGAATAATCTTGCTTGTACAACATTGGGTTACAACATTACATGTACAAGTGAGATGCAATGGGCATGGACGACTGAGAGACAAAAGGAAAAAAAGAAATCCACTTCAGTAGGGCGGGAAATGAGTTAAAGGCTTAGAGGCATCATAACACTAGAAGAAAAGAAAATCAAATACTCAACACCTAATTCTTCAATCGAAGATATCATAATTTTTCAGCGAATCCCATCGAAGTCATTGACGACGAGTTCGATCCCGACCACATTGGGTTACAAGCCAACTTGAGCATTTTTCCCAAATATGATATATCAAGAATCCTGATTCACGTATCATTCCATTCTAGCTTTGATTTGTCATACAATCCCGTTGACATCCACCGCGACTCTCCATCCCGACCACGATGGTAGCATTCTGTCTTACGCATTTTCCCCCAAAAAGCAAGAAACCCAGCATTGCCCGGTTATATTCAATTGAAGGTGTGATTGCTGTTCTCAGATACTTGTTATTGTTTAGGGTCATATTCTAAAATGTTGCAACCATGACCAGATCTCTATTCCGATTATGACGTTTAAACTCATTTATTTCGTATTTTGGTGTCTGAATGTGATATTTGCGAATAAAATTATATTTGTTACAAATTCAACAATGAATGGATGATTCAATCCATTTTCACTTATGTTGAAATCATTATTTTGTTGTAAATGTGAAATTCTGGAGAAGTTATGTTTTGCTGAAAGTGTCTGCAAATTTTGTGGTAGGAGACTAGATGATGGAAGTCGTGGAAAGTGATGCTTTGGTAGAATCCGAAAATGTCAATGTAGAATACAATATGAATGCAGTTGAAGATGAAACGGTAGGATGAGATGAAGTGATTGTGCCAGAGGTTGGTACGAAGTTCAAGGACGAAAACGAAGTCTTTGATTTTTTACAAATTACATGCTTACAACATAGGTTTTTCCGGTGAGGAACCAACAAACAAAACAGATTGTAAAGTCAGGATCTCTGGATCTGCAGATAATCATTGTTACCGGAGAATTAACATACCGCACCTCGACCACAATCACAAAATAAGTCCAACAAAGTCGAGATTGTATCGATGCAATAGAGAACCGAGTGCACTCATGAAATGGAAGCTTCAAGTGAATGACATGGCTGGAATTCCATTGCACAAAGTTTCAATTATGAAGATGTTGAAGCAAGTAGATATGAAAATATAACATGCATGAAAAATGACTGTCGAAACTACATTGGTGGGAATTACTATCTTCAAGTTGATAAGCAGGTCCTAAGTTTGTTGAAAATGGAATGGCGGAATCATCTATAGAAGCTACACCAAGTTAGATTTTCTCCCAACCTAGAGTTCTGCTGGATGAGTTTGGCAGGCATTTTCTTCTGCTAATTACTATCCAACTTTCATTTCTCTATCATGTGTATAGACTTTATCAAGGGATTGATGATAACTATTGTGTAATATTGGATGTCAATCCGCTACATGAATATGTTGCAGTCATGGAACATATATTGCACTACGAACCCGAGCCGACTTGTTGCTAAATATGTATGATTTTTGAGCAAAAAACATATGGACGTGTCACCACAACGGAGGCTACTACTTAACAAAGAAATGCCATATACAATCGCCGAACAACCCGGGCAGAAAAGCAATAAAAGTATTATGAAAATGGGTGATGCTAATACTACAAAAGTTGCTAGTACTACAAGACATTACAGTGAGGTTGCTAATACACAAACATGCATGTTGCAAAGACACCAAAACATGAACTACAAGTTCCAAGCAGACATGCTATCCAGATCGACTACCACACATCTAATACACCGAAATCAAAGTGGTTCAATATCCATTACACATTCAAATAGCTAGAAATTAACATACATAAACTACCAATCTTGATTGTTTAAGAAACACACACAAATAGCTAAGAAAGCAATCTATACTAATCAACCCGACTCATTTCATTCGTGTTTACTAATCAACATTTTACTTCTTCTTGAATATGTCACGCTTAGAAATATATGGATTTCTCCTTCATCTTTCTGCCAAACTTGAGATTGGAACATGCATGACATATCGTCGATTTCAGTATGACAAACTTGACTCGATTCGTCAACTGACTCTCCAATGTCGCACCATTCCCAAAATCCACATTTGTGACTACAATAATTGATGACTTTTCCTTTGTTTGCAGTATCCCTTTCAACCTCAAAACACTTTTGAAAATCTTTGTTACATTGTGGGCATCGACGTTTTGTCAGGCATTCGCTAAAGAAATGCCGTTACGCCTGCAACCGTGACAAATTCCCGAATTCTTACATTTTAGCCAAGTCGGTATGGCAATGAACTGAATGTCTAAGATGTAAACATAACCTTCATGTCACAAATTCTGTTAAAAAAAAAAATTAGTTCCATTTCAAGTTTTATGAAATCTCTAGTTTTTAATCATCCAAAGACAAATGCTTATTGTCAAATACCAATATACCTTATTTTCTACTCATCGATCTAACCAAATTGCAATTCCATGTATATCTAAGAGAAAACATGGTACTGCCCTCAAATTTGTTCTCAAAAATTAAACTTAAATATGCTTACCGTCAACATTCCTACTTTGTCAAAATGAAAACTATAACAAACGGCAAAGCTTACAAGTATACCAACAATAGGCGACTTTCAAAAAATCCAAGAATTTTGTACCTTACACAAGGCTGCAACGAGTTCGGTTATTGTGACGATAGGTGAGGAGATGATCGGAGGGGAGTCGACAGCCAGAGGAAAATGTGGAGGAGAGTGAAAGAGATGAGGGTGGGTGTTTGATTTTGGAGAAAATGGGGGAGAATTGAGAGAAAAATCTAGATTTACTTGTCAAGGTCTGTATTTTGAGCATCCAAAAATGGTGGTAGCTTATAGGAGACCGCAATTGCTTCGGCGAATGTTCGGACAAGCTCGATCGATGGTGACAACCAGAAGAAATGGGGGTGACGAGTGAAAGAGGTAAGGGTTATTTTGGGGGAAATGGGAGAGAAGTGAGAGAGAGCATTTTTTACTTTTCAATTTTTTATTTTTTTAAAAATATGAATGACACGCCAGTTTGTAAACGAGCGTTGTACGTGTAGCGAGATTGCCTAAAAAATACCAAGAACAGTATAAAAAATATTCTAGATTGTAATTACTATTTTTATTTCTAGAATTGCATTTCCTTTTTAATACATTTAGTGTGATTTTTTATACCAAGAGGGAAGATGTGATGTCCATTGAATGTTTGATTCGCAACCTAACCCTAACGACACAAATCAACCTTGAAATGTGTTTTATCCCAACTGTCATATGGTTGTGATCATATTAAATAGGTTGAAAAGCAACCACCCAATGTCATAAAGTTGATTGAGCACATCTGCTGCAAGACTATCAAACACGCCAGACGCACGAAGTATATTTGTACGAAGGATTTCTTAGCCGAAGTGACGTTTTGTAAAGAAGCCTTATTTTGGAGAGGTCAGTCACTTCGAAAATCCACTGCAGCAAAAGGCAGCGCTTCACCTCGAAAGTGACGCTTTAGATAAAAATTCTGTCGCTTTGCTAAAGCTCCTCACTCACCTCACCTAGTTGCCAATAGCTTTAGAAAGAGCGTAAAAAAGATGAAGCGATGCAAAGTGCGAATCGTGCATGGCTTTCTGCTTTGTCTTTACTTAGTAGTTGTCACATGGCCAGCCTTGTAGGACGATACTTAACATTTTCCATTTATTTTGACTGTTAAAAAAGTCAAATTTTGATATAAAGATTGAAATGGCCCTTATTGCATCCTTGGCAAATGAACTTTTATGAATAGAAATCAAATTAAATCACAACAAAATAGGTTCAAGCTTGGTCAATCTTCACTTTGTAGGTGGGGTCATTTTACAAAATTCCAACAATAAAAAATGTTCAAAACTTATAATTACTTAAATTTTAATTTAATCAATAAAAATTACAGACGTCTTTTAAGTGAGTATAAATCGTGAACCTCTTTTATCATAAGATTTAGTGACTTACCTATAGGAGAAGATTGACCGAATATGGACCTTTTATATTGTTGGGTTTTTTAGGTTATTTGACGAAGCTTACGATACAAAAATTTAGCATATTTCGATAAAAGTTGATGAAAAACATCGTTGATATGTTGTGGATTTAATGAAATTCGTGGTTAAAATTAGTTGTTCATATTGATCTCAAAATTTTAGCAATTTTTTAAGCTATACCAACAAATACATTTCTATTTTATAAAAGTTCGTTTGCATTTGAGATGCTCTTATGGTGGATTGGTTGGTAAGACTAGTTGACTTTTTTTGTCTTGTAATTTTTTAATTCTTATTTTTTACTTATTTTATTTTTATAGGACCAAACGAGTCATTTCAGTTTTATATCGAAAGTTAGATTTTTATTTGTCATTTGAATGAAAATCATTCAAAATGACCATTTACACCCATTAGGTGAAATGTTAAAAATGTTTGCAGTTTGCCCCCAAAAAAAAAAAAAAAAGTTATGCTCGTGATTATCACGTGCATAATTAACATCAAAATAAACGGAAAGTGTCAAAAAGGATTATTTGCATATTAAAGTTGACAAGGTTAGATATGATTTTTACAGTTTTAGAACGATAGGGATGATTTGGACAGTGACCCAAAAGACGAGGGACGTTTTGCGGTAATTTTTCGCAAGAAGTAACTAATAAGCTGCTTAAAGCTTAGCCAAACATGTTATTAACGAAATGATGACTTTTAACCCTGCGATTAGCCCCCAAAATGCATAAACCTCAGTTTAAACCTACGTCTTTAATCAATTGGAATCTCCAAATCATACAGGGAATTTCACTATAACCTTCAGCATAAACAAGATGTGGTACCGCTCAGCCTCTTTCATTCTCGATAATCGGAAGCTTAGGAACGACGCCGTATCATACCTCGAGAGCCAACAGCTATCCCCCGCCAACACGGCATCCTCCATCACCATGCCCACCGAAAACCCTGATCCGAAAATCTCCCTTTACTATCAGACACGCGCCGCTCACCATGGAGTCGTGACTACTGACTGGCTCGCTCAGGCTGAAGCCGCTGTGACCTGCCACTCTGATGACGATCCTTCCAAGAATTCCGTCGGCGGCGGGGAAGATTCTGAAGAGAGGTTTAATGTGGTGGACGAGTTCAAGAACTGGCGGAAACAGCCCGATTTGGCGGAAGCTGTGGCGGCTATTAAGGCTTTGGCTTCAGTTATTCGGTCGACCCAAGCCACCACTATGATGGAGCTCGAAATTGAGCTCAAAAAGGCCGCTGACTCTCTAAAGGTGTGCAAACTTTGCTGTTTTAATGCCTTTTTATTTATTTCATTTACCAAATATGAATATCCTAAACCTTTTGCTGTTGTTTCTTGGTATGTCCTATTTTTTCCATCGAATTAAATTGACTTTGGCTTTTCCTTTTTCTACATTGTAATTGTATGACTTTAAGTTCTTGTTCGATTCCCATTTTTTCCAAAATACATTCAAATTAAAAACTTTCTTTATTTTTTAACCAAGCATTCTATATCAATCTACTATTCCAAAATGCATTTTATACAAAAAAAATGGGGCTCAAAATAGTAAATGGATACATAAGTTTAAAGGAGGTTTGAGGAACAAAAGCTTCAGGGAGGCAGGGTATTGCCTGCCTGTTTAAAATTGAGGCTTGCTCTGTTGGGGCGAAATGTCCTTTGAAATTCTGGTCTGAAATGTTGTATATGCTTGTATAGCCTAGGAACACTTCCTTTCGGCCATTGGTTGTTATTTGTGATATATGGATGATACAATGGAAGTAAAAATATGATAGATTAATATACAGACTTCTTAAACATCACTATCTTACTTGGAACTAGAAATTCCGAAACTTCACAAGTATTAAAGATCCTTTCGCCAGTTTTCACTTTTTCATTGTGCAAACTTACCAAAAGTTTTGTCATATCTGCAAAAGTTATTTGCATAAGTGAACCTCAAAGCAATCTCTAACCGAGAGTGGGCAAAAATCGCTTTTAAGTCAGCATATTTCTAAGTATTTCAAGTCTTTATTGATCCGAGTTTTATTGTTCGAGTTTCATCCTCACATGGACATTTCATTTGGAGTATTCACTAGTAGTTTACTTGTTTTCAATAATAGCCAGGTATAGCTACTGGTACCATGTATTGCTAGAGCAAGAGCTCTCTTTCTGGAAAGACTTGAATCCGATTAACTGTTTTGAGATTCTGTCTTGAGCATAACGAATTTTTCATTTTCATGCTGGTGAATAATGTATGGATGATTTGAGGGTCAAATACCATGCATCATTTTTATCTGGCTCTTCAATATGGTTCTTATAATTAGTAAGAGGCTTAGTAATTCATTGCGAGAATAACTCATGCATTCTTTTTAAGTAATAATGTCGTTTTTCGGTCATTCATACCAAGTTCAATGATAGCTAGATTAGTCGAACTTTATACATCTTGATGCAACAATAGTGTACCATTTGAGCAAAACTTGTACATGGATTTATACTTGGGGTTGAATGTGTTTCCCCGATACATTTCTCCTGCCAATTGAAGCTTTGTTTTTGCTTTGAAGAAGAAAATCACGAGATGTTACTGGCTAATAACAGTGCTATAGATGGGGATTGGAATCTCCACCCTATTTGAAATTTGAAATAGAGAACATAGATTCGCAACCTTTAATTTGTAGCAAGTGGATCTCCAATTTTTCAGTTTTGTAGCAAATGGGTCATAGCCCTTTGACTATTAAAAGGTCAATTTTTGTTTAAAGGACCATTATACTCCTATTTTCAATGAATATAAAAAAAAAAGAGAGAGAAGAAATGAAAATGAAACAGAAACTTTGTGCAAAAGTAGGAGAAAGTCAGAGGGGGCAACAACGATCTATGATGCTCGGACTCGTGGTATGGGTACGTATTTAAGTGTTAGATCTTTTATATTCTAAAATGTAGAATACGGAGATATGGCTAAAAAAAATTCAAATTTCAGGCACGCGTATGTGTGTACATTTTTCAAATTTTAATTTTTTTATTAATTCAGGATGTCATTTTGAATAGATCAAAACTAATTATTCACAATGAAAGAAATGTGCATTTAATAAGGGGGTTAAGTCAAATTAAATAAAATTTTTGGGTTTAGTTTTCAATTATGAGAATTACTAAAGGTTATATAAAATAGAAAATGAGGAACTTGATTGTAATTTGGACTTAGTGGAGCACTAAGTAGTACTATATGGAATCCATTTTTATTTTATACAAACAAAACCCTAAACTACGGATACAGAGGGAGAAATGAGGAAAAAAAGAAGAAAATGGAAAGAAAAAAGAAAGAGGAAGATAAAGAAGGTAAAACTCAGCGCCGCCGCAGCCTTTCTCCACCCTCTCGGTGATTACGCTAGGTTTATAGAGAGCAAAAGTGAGAAAGAAGAAAAGGAAAAAAAGGAACAGAAAAAAATGAGAAGAAAGATGAAAAAGAAGGAAGAAGAAGTAAAAACGACGAAGTGTCCAGTTGAAATTTGGAGGATCCTACACATACCCCATGCTCATACCCATGTAGTGTCCGACACGGGTGTAACGACCCGGGTCCCACTTAACGGGCTGTCCTGGCCGTTAGATCGACGACGTACTGTCCTCACTGTACCAACATGGGTCTTTTCAGCATGCTTTGTCCTCACTCGCACGCTCCCCGAGAAAACTTCCCAGGGGGGTCACCCATCATAGAATTGCTCCAAGCCAAGCACGCTTAACTGTGGAGTTTCCAACGATGGACTTCCGGAAAAGAAGGTGCACCTTGTTGGTATGAGTAGTACCTATCAAATCTCTTAAACTTTCTTGGTCTGGGGTATTACAATCACCCCCCGTTAGACTCGCGACGTCCTCGTCGCGCTTGATCCATCTGAGGATCTGTTGCCAGGCGTTGGGATTCTAGAGGTGGCTCCTACGAGTTCAAGAGGTGGCTCCCGTCCTATGGCGTAGCACTTTGTCCCGCATAGCACTTAGTTCCCGATTTCCGACTGGCAAACGGCTCTGATACCATTTGTAACGACCCGGGTCCCACTTAACGGGCTGTCCTGGCCGTTAGATCGACGACGTACTGTCCTCACTGTACCAACATGGGTCTTTTCAGCATGCTTTGTCCTCACTCGCACGTTCCTCGAGAAAACTTCCCAAGGGGGTCACCCATCATAGAATTGCTTCAAGCCAAGCACGCTTAACTGTGGAGTTTCCAACGATGGACTTCCGGAAAAGAAGGTGCTCCTTGTTGGTATGAGTAGTACCTATCAAATCTCTTAAACTTTTTTGGTCTGGGGTATTACAACGGGCACTCCAACTATTTCGAAGAGTCCGAGTATCAGAGGCAACGATGGCCGACAAAGAGGACTGAATGGGAACAAGTAGGAAATGACGTGTGGATGGAAGGGGGATCCTTTGAAGGTGCAGAATGAAGAGAAGAAACTCTAATCATGGTTTCACACAGTTGAAATGTTGTTTGAAGAAACACCTTTTTAAGTTAAAAATAAATAGGCACACATGTTTTGCTTTGCTGAGGACCTATGATCTAACAATTGAAATTAATTATTTGCTCAATACTTACCCAATCGTAGGCCCCTGGTTTAAAATCTATCTTGATGGGGGTGGTGTTGTGGGCCAATCAATTGAAAATTAAATGATCCATTCAATGGTTTGTAGGTGTCGGCTTTTTCATAGAAATAAGCTGTCCCAGTAATCCAATTCTTGCTAAGTTGTCAATCTATAAAAAAATTTGAAATACTTCTTTTGAAAAAATAAACAAAAAAAAAAAATAAAAAAAAATAATAATAAATGTTATTTTATGTTATTTTAATTAACAGCTTGTCCATGCCCTAATTTTTTTAAAAATCACATGTTACCGTATCCGGATTTCTTAGTATGTATGCATGCGTAGATGCACTACATTTGAGTGTCTACCTGTATGTTTTCCTACTGTTTGATTGTCTACGTTTTTTGAATATGTGATTTTAACTCACCATCGACAAATATGATGATTGGGCAATACAAATATCAAACTGCTTGTTTAAAGAATTTGAGATTTATTGTATCTTGTGTCGATGAATACTTTTGTGCTATGTTCCAGTCATGGGACACTACCTCTATCTCTTTAACAGCTGGCTGCGATCTGTTTATGCGTTACGTAACGAGAACTTCTGCTCTAGAATATGAGGACTTCAACTCAGCCAAATCTCGCCTTCTTGAACGTGCTGAGAAGTTTGGCGAGTTATCATTAAAGGTAACTATTTGCTAGATAAATTTGGATTGACATGATTTTATTCTTCATTAATCCACTTGCATTTATCAACCTTCACAAATGTCATTTCAGGCTCGAAGAACAATTGCAATGCTCAGTCAAGATTTTATATTTGATGGTTGTACCATTTTGGTGCATGGTTCCTCGCGTGTTGTTTTGGAGGTTTTGAGAACAGCAGCACAAAATAGGAAACTCTTTCGAGTGTTCTGTACTGGTGTGTACTAGCAACATCCAGTTTGTGTTATCCGAGTATACGCCACTAAAATAAATAAATTTAACTTGTTTGACATAGCAAAATCAACTAGCCTCTTACGTAAAGCACAACAAAATTGATCCTCATTCCCGGGTTTTTCTTTCTCTGAAATTCAAATCTTTCAAAATTCTCTTCAGGGACCTCTGTTAACTTGTAACTAAGGTAAGACTAGAATTAATTATTTTTAAAACAATGAGTAATTACCATTACGGTTGGCGTTTGACTTTTATACTGATAGATTGGCTATCTAGTTTTGGACACTCGCAATTGACAACCGTAACTTGAATATATGAACTATAAAGAAGTTCTATGCGTGTGTATTTGTATTGCTTTCTGTTAGTATGGATTAGCAAATTCGTGTGTACAAAGTCAATACTATGATTATATATATTTTTTTAAAAAAGGCTTGAAGTTTGATGTTAGATAACTGAAATGCAGAGGGAAGACCTGACAGGACAGGATTGTGGTTGTCCAATGAGCTTGCCAAGCTTGATATTCCTGTGAAGCTTTTAATAGACTCCGCTGTGGCATATAGCATGGACGAGGTAGACATGGTTTTCGTAGGAGCAGATGGAGTGGTTGAAAGTGGAGGCATAATAAATATGATGGGCACGTACCAAACTGCATTGGTGGCTAAAAGCATGAACAAACCAGTTTATGTTGCTGCAGAAAGCTACAAGGTATTTAGATTTTTGACTTCTTTATTAATCTAAAGACAAATGGGAGAATTTAGATCACTACTGCCATTGCATAGATGAACATATCCAAATTTCAGAGAAGTAAATTTTAATTTTTGCACTTGCAGTTTGCTCGACTCTATCCTCTGGACCAAAAAGACATGGTACCTGCTTTACGTCCGATTGATTTTGGAGTACCTATTCCGTCCAAGGTTGAGGTTGAAACATCTGCCCGGGATTATACGCCACCTCAGTATCTTACGTTACTCTTCACAGATTTGGGGGTCCTAACCCCATCAGTAGTAAGTGACGAGCTCATCCAGCTATACCTATAACAATGATGAGAACTAACTTTTTCGCGTTACCATCTAACGTGGCAGCAGCAATTTACTGTGAATGATAAAGACGGGACACTTTTTTCATCAGTTGAATATATTTCAAGGGCAGGCTGTTATTTGTCCTTGAATAATTCATTTTCTGCGTGCAGCCTACTGTGCTATTGCCTGAGTTTTGGGCATCTCCAAGAATCTCCACCTGTTTCTTTGACGTTGTCATGTACGATTTGTTGTGTTTTTCGGACTTGCACTCTATTATTGTCGAACATTAATTGTTCATTGTTGACGCATGATTGGATTGTTTTGTCAAACCAGATGAAGAGGAAGGAAAATAAAATTAATTACGGTGACTCGAATTCAGATTTAGACCGTTTGATTCCATTTTTTCTTCAAATTTATTTTCAACTATACACTCAATAAAATAATTTTGTACATGGACTCATAACTTTTTCTTACTTAATCACTCTAAAAAAATAATCAATTTTTACAAAATCTATTCTCCAAATGTCACGCGTTTTGGTTACTATGAATTTGTGTTCCAAGAAATGTGTGGTTAAAAATAAATTTGAAAAATAAGTGAATTATGAAAAATGGAGGTCAAACATGGATGAAATGATGTAATTTTTGCTTTGTGTGTGATCCAAAATAAATTTTTTAAAAAAAATGAATTTAAACATGGGTGAAAATGATGTAACTTCTGCTTTCGGTAGGTTCCTTTAATATGGAACACATGGGGGCTTTCATGGATACAATACAATTTTTTGTGTTTTTTTTTGGGTTACTGTCGTTTATAATAATTCAAGGTCACAACAAATACTCTGTTGTCTGGTAGTTCACATGCTTTTGTTTCTTCAGCTGAAAAGTCTCCTTCTATGCCTTTTCTTATATTTTTTCCGACAGTCTTGGATACTCCTAGATCGAAGACAACATCTTGTGTCTTACTTCCAATAAATTAAGAATAAATTATATAGGCCCTGTTTGAATTTCTCGTAATGTATTATAGAATAGTAGATTGATGAAGAATGTGTGGTTAAAAGTAAGAAAACTTTATTGATTTGTGCATATAATATTTTATTATGTGTTTGGTGGAGAATGATACTGTAGAAAACAAAAATTTTTAAATGATGACAAATAGGGGCATAATTGTGTTTTGTCACTACATAAAGCCAAGCTAGTAAAGAAGATTGGTGCAGGAGTATGACCTTATACGTTGGCCATGGAATCTAGCTTGCGATACTCTATTTTGTCTATACAACTGCAGAGTGAGGATAATTTTCACGGGAGCCCCCGTTTCAGTCACATTATTTTTTTCATTCAATCATACATTTTTTAATAAAATAGTATTTTTCATCACATCAATAACTTTTCCTCATTTTTCAATCACATATTTCCTATCATATCAATCAAAAAAATGCATTCTTGGAGTAAAAATGTGCACCAAACGAGAGGTAAGTTGAATGGTAAAAATGATTATATGTGTCTTTGTCAACAAACAAATTCATTGAATTTAGGACTCGGTTGGGCCCATTTTGTTAGAATGTGGGTCCCTATCTCATTGTTTTTATTCTATTTTGAGTTTCTTTCCAATTTTCCCTATTACTTCGTTCGTCTCATTTATATAAATTGATTTTATTTTTCACACGGATTAAGAAATCTTATTTAATGTTATTGAAAAAGTAATTTTTATCAAAAACATTCATAGTTTACCCTTATTTAATTATCAACAACTAGTAGTAAATTAGTTATAATTAATCAAATTAAATAAGGGTATATTAGTAAACGAACAAAATAAAATATTCTCAATAAAGAAAATAATTGTGGCCAAAAAAAAAGAAAAAGTTAGCCTATATAAATGGGACGGAGGGAGCATAGTTTTTCTTGATTTCTGTTTATATCTTGTTTCGCAATAATCTTGAAAATATATCAAAAAATTGATGAAATGATGATTATGAGCGTGTTCGGTAGAGATTAAAATTGAAAAACTAGCCGTTATTGTTGACTTTTATTAGACGAGTGAGACCCAATAACGATTATATTTTCAATTTTAATTAGATTTTAATCTTTACCAAACGAGCACCATACCTTCTCCAACTAAAAAAAATATCTTTAATGGATGTCTCCCAACTATGAGTTAAAGATTAATCGAGTCATTTTATTTTTAAAAAATCTCAATCAAATCATAAAACTTTATAAATATTTTATTTCAGATCACTCTGTTAATTAGCATTAATGTACAATGTATACATGACTTTAAAAGCAAGCAAAATGACATTAAACCTGCATGGACTATTAAAGAGCCTATATGTAACATGTTGAACAACTTAGTAATGACACTTCCTTCCAAGTCAAGTCTTTATCAAGATTAATTCACTAGAAGTCAATTAATCGAGTAACAATTGAAAGAGAGTTCTGCTTAGTCGTATCCGTAAGAAATGACAGTCGAGTGAGCACAATGTATCTTAAATAACTATAAGTGGTATTTAAGTCGGGAAATGATCGATGTTCAATAAACCATTTCAACAGTCCACTTGAAATGTATAGATTCAAATCTTGCATGTTGACTTCTAGCAACTTCATCAAGTTGCCAAGTTTTAACATCTATGGAAGCAAGCACTACTAGTTCTAGTAATCTCGACTTATCAAACTGCCTGAATTGAAATAATTATGAAGTTCGTGATGTGAGTACTCGATCGTAAATTTCAGTGCCCAGTGAAATTAGTCGAGTTACGCACAAACAGGCCCGAACATCCACAATTATAAAACAAATAATAATAATTATGAAGTTCGTAACTTAATTGAGACCGTTAATAGTGGAGTGACCTCAAATAAAATTTAGGGATAATTGCAGCTGCGGTCCCAAACCTTTCAAATTTTTGCGCACTTTACCCTAACCTTTGATTTGTACCAGCCACAGTCTCAAACCTTTAAAAAACTCACACCTACAGTCCAAATGGATGATTTCCGTTAAGTTGACCGTTAGTCAACTAAAAAAAGTAGATGTTGACCAATTTTGACCTAATTAAAAAGGGTAAAGTAGTAACTTTGTCATTTATTCCTTAAAATAATTAAAAAACAATAAAAAAAATGAAGAAAGAAACTGTTGAATCTTCTTCTTCCACACCCCACCCCACCCCACCCCTCCCCTCCCCTCCCCTCCCCTCGCCACCATCAAAACACCTCCTGAAAAAACCCAAAACGTTTTGCTCCTGCCCAAATTGAAAAATAGAACCTAAATTCGAGCAAATTAATGAACCCCCCCACCCCCATTATTCCATTCTTCTTCTCAGAGTTCAGTCTCAAGTGGAGTAATCATTCATTCCTAAAATTTTCTGCTCATAGCTAACGTGCAGTGATGGAGAACTACCCGTACAATTCGTCGAATCCAGTGGGTATAAATGGGAGAAGGAAATCTGGTTTGATTGTGTATAAATGGTAGAGGAAATCTTGGCCCTGATGGAGATGGTGGTGTAGGGAAAGGAGGAGTGCCCAATGCGTGTGGATGGTAATAGTAACAGGGTACCCAACGGAAGGTTGTGGTTAATTTAAGAGACTGGAGAAGATGGGCCAAACACGGAATTGGTGGTGGCGGGATTGAAGTACAGTAGAGATGTGTGTGATTTGGTGGTGGTGCAGGAGATGGTTTTGATGTTGTCGGGGCTAGAGGTAGGTCCGGCAGCGCGACTGGTTTAGGAAAGATGGCAGTATCTGGCGTTTAGGGAAGATGTCTGTAATCGTGTGCTTGATCGACGACGAGATTTGTTGGGGTGGTGAAAGTTGTAGACTGTGGTGGTGAAAGGTGTAGAGACTGTCGAAGTGTGGTGGCGTGAGGTGGATAATTTGGGGGGGGGGAGGGGTGGGGTGGGTTGAAGAAGAAGATTGAACAGTGTCTTTCTTCATTTTTTTTTTAAATTATTTTATGGGATAAATGACAAAGTTACTACTTTACCCTTTTTAATTAGGTCAAAATTGGTCAACATCTACTTTTTTTAGTTGACTAATGGTCAACTTAACGGAAATCATCCATTTGGACTGTAGGTGCGAGTTTTTTAAAGGTTTGGGACTGTGGCTGGTGCAAATCAAAGGTTAGGGTAAAGTGCGCAAAAATCTGAAAGGTTTGGGACCGCTGCTGCAATTATCCCTAAAATTTATTAAAACAAAGTACTTTGTGCACCGGCCATTTCCCGCCGTACCGCATTCGTGCGGATTTATCGCGAGCTCACTATTAATAAGCTGGCTTCCATATACTCGCTGATTCAAAACTATCTTTCTTCTCTTTCAATTTCCCCCATTAAAATTTCTCAATTAAAACCTGAAATTCACTGAAAAGGAACCAATTCAGATATGTGTGGAGGGGCGATAATTCCAGACACCGTAAAGCCGAGCTCATCGTCGCGTCGATTGATCGCCGACTTGCTCTGGGGCAGTGGAGTTGCAGATTTGAACAAGAAGAAAAACTACCACTGGAACCCGTTAATATCTAAGTCTGTCGTTGATGTTGACGTTGATTTCGAGGCTGAATTTGAGTGCTTTAAACACTACTCCGTTGATGAAGAGGAGAGCGATGGCAAGTCCTTCGGTTTCTCTGCTTCCAAACAATCCACCCTCCGCTGTAAAATTTAATTATATTCATTTGTTATTTAGTTTGTGATTTTTTTTGTCAATTTCGTATGATATGGTATTTGTTGAGTTCTCTGGTGTTAGTGTGTACTTTTTTTTAAAAAAAATTATGAGTTTTTGAAGTGATTGTGGTTTAGTTATGGGATATTATTTTAATAGCTTATTTGTTCATCAATGTTTGGGTTTTTATAGGTAAAAGAAAATTTCTGTATTATTTTGTTCGTCGTATCGTATCTAAAAAGAAAGATGTATCTGAAGTGTATTCTGTTTCTCTTGAAGGTTCTAAAGCTGTCAAATCTGCTGTATCTGATGTGGATTCTGAAAAGCTCTTAAAAAGAAAGAGGACGTATCAGTACAAAGGGATCCGCCAACGTGCATGGGGTAAATGGGCTGCTGAGATCCGTGATCCAACGAAAGGTGTCCGGGTTTGGCTTGGAACTTTTGACACTGCTGAGGAAGCTGCAAGAGCTTATGACACGGAAGCTCGGAGGATCAGAGGCAACAAAGCTAAGGTGAATTTTCCTGACAAAGTTTCTGCCCCTGCCACAAGGCATATGGTTAAGGAGAATTCTCGTAAAGTGCTTCCCAAGGAAAACCAAGACTCAGTTCAGCCAAGTTCAAGCCAGTATATGACTTTCCAAGACATGTTGGATAATGACCTTTACAATTCTGTGTGTTTCTTTGAAGAGAAACCAACAATGAAGCAATATGGCTATGCTGATTTATACCCTAACACTGGTGATGTTGCTAATGTCTACTTTAGCTCTGATCAAGGAAGCAACTCTTTTGACTCCTCAGAGTTTGGCTGGGGAGAAAATTCTACACGGAGTACCCCAGAAATATCATCTGTTCTCTATTCTGTTTTTGAATATGACAAAGCTCAATTCATGGAGGATTCTAACCCTGCGAAGAAACTGAAATCAAGTTCTGAAGATACAGTGACTGCTGTTGATAACGCTATGAACAAGCTTTCTGAAGATCTCTTAGCGTTTGAGTCGCAGATGAAGCTCTTCCAGATGCCTTATCTTGACGGTAATTGGGATGCCTCCTCAGTTGACGCCTTCCTCAATGGAGACTCAACTCAAGATGATGGGAATGAATTGGATGTTTGGTCCTTCGATGACTTTAGTGCTATGTTTGGTGGGATTTAAAAATCTCAGTTTCCCACTGGTTATGGCTTTCGTAAATTAGGCTACACTTTAGTACGGGTTGCTTACTGTACTAGCTTTTACCTAGTTACCTTGTTAAATATAAGTTCGCATTCTACCTTGTTAACACTCACTCGACTGGGATATATGTATTAATTCTACCTTTGCACATGGAGCATGATGTAATCATCGATTTCCTTTCTTGAATTCTATAGTTAGCTTCTTGTTTTTTGAGCGAAGGGGTGGAAATGATGATGTGATGGTGTGCTTATTTTCTTTTCCGATGATATGGATAAGATTCCATTATATAATTCCATACCACCAAGCATATCGGTTATGAATTTGAGGAAGTTATCCTTTCCCCTGTATTAAGAAATCTTAAAGCACAATCAAAAAGAAGAAAAAGGGAAATTGTGAAGAATTTCAAGCAAGAAAGGAATACTAGAAAGTTAAAAGTCACAGGAAAAACATCAAATGTAGAGCTCCTTTTAACATGATCACCAAAACAAATTCAAAATTTTCAGTTTATTTCTCCTTCAAGAAATGCGGTATCTTTGTTTTCATTTACATCTTCTTGATAATCTTGTTGCTTGGCAATGCTGCTGCAGTCGTTCTCTTAATCCTGAAGCCCCGAATGCCTGTATTTTCTCTCCAAAAAGTTGATGTTGATTCTTATAAGATTGAAGTAAATAACTCGGACCAAAACATATTTGTTTCATCTGTTTCTTCTCTGATTTTGGATGCAGAAAATCCAAACAAGGTCAGGTTAAGTTATGGCCCTTCGAGGTTTCATGTCCTTAGTGAAGGACTAGTGATAGGATTGATCCGAATCCCTCAGTTTCATCAGCCTCCTCTCAGCAAAAATGTAAGCGTGCAGATGCAGGTATCGTTTGAAGGCATGAACATTAGCAAAATGATCGCATCTGCAGGAAATTCATCCAAAGATAGCAATATTTTCCCGATTAGGATATCAGGTGAAATGAGAGTTCAGGTCGGGATTCTAAATATCACGTTTCCAATGCTGAAGATAGCGTTGGACTGTGAAATAAGTATGTCGCATCTTTCATTTCTCAATGAGGTGTACAGCATGAGATGGATTAAGAACAAAAATATGGTAAGGATTTTGAAATCTTTTATAATTATTTCCCCTCTTTCTTCTCACCGATGGCTTTGTTTTGAAATTTTCAGATTTCGCTTCCTCTGAATTCCAATGCATTCTCCAACAAGTGCTCTATGGGTATTTTAATGTAGTAAAATAAACAGCGATACATGATGAGAGATATCATATTCGAAGCTCTAAGTCGTCTATTGATATTAAACCATTGGAAATAAAATCGTATTCATATTGCATGTATAGGATATTCTTTCTCAAGTACTTGCGAATTCATATCAATACTGTACATACTTGCGTTAGCTTTCACTCAGAATAGAAACTCGTGTACATCATTGTATACTGCAAGAAGAGAATATAAGTTTTTCTGTTTCTCACTGCCAACGAGTAATATAGGTATTACAATTTGTAGTGTATTATGGGAATCTATTTTTTATTTTACTTCTTGTAGAAGAGCTTTTATTCAAACAAAAAACTTTTAAAAAATTATCAAAACATGTTCAATGTGGCTTTTTAGTTTCAGAAGCAATTTGTGACTTTTCAAAAGCCCTGTTTGTGATCCCTATATGGCTTTGCAAATTCCCTTGCTTGAAAATTGACATCATGAGTATCGAGCTTCAGGTTGGTTCTCATGCTCCTATATTGTTCTTGTTTGGAGTGTTCTCTCATATCTGAATGAAAAAATGTTACTGGGAATGTCCTCAAACCCCTTCGAAAAGTGCATGTAAATCAGGCCAGGGATATACGTTGTCATAAATTTTTGCCTTGCACTCTAGTACGATATATGGAATAGGCAAGAGTAGTCTTATGGTAAGAGAATGCTTGATTACTTGACTTTTTTGAAAGTGATGTGGGATCTCGCCAATATATTATAGAAGTCATCGTATGCCCCAACTCCCTTGACCAAATGAGAACTTTGAGGTCTAAGGGAGCAGCAAATTTGTCTTGGGGACCACCCTGTAATCTTCTCATGTGATTCACTCATTCTAAGGATAATTTAGATGAATAAAGTTATAGACAATCCATGTGTTGTCAAGATTTGTTTGATTGATTTTAAAAACAATTTTTGAAATGAGTAGTGTAGATTTTGTCAACTCATAATTGTCCACAAAAGTTGTCAACCATAGTTGTATATGTAGCAATATTCAATTTAGATAGAAACTGTTGCGCCCACACTCGCCAGGGCCCAATGGCCCAAAAGTAAAGAAATGGCCGAAGCCCATTTTGTTGACGCCCATTTGCTGAAGCCCATTGGCCAAGTCGAGGTACCATTTGCCGAAGCCCAACGGCCCATGCCAAGGCGCCATTACCAGAAGCCCAACGTACCTCTGAGGCCCAACATTACCGAAACACCTCAATGCCGAGGCTCAAGGGAAAGTGGAAGCACTAAACAAATTGATAGATTTCTAATGCTGAAGCACTACTTGTTTAAATCGAATCTCCGAAGCCTATACCTCAAATCGAGGCTCAATAAAGTAGAATTAGAAGTTCAACCATGACAAATGATGACCTACGATTGAAGATTTTAAAGTACCTAAAATCCACTTGGAATGATTGGTTGGACAACTGTAATGAATGGAAATGGTCAATCATGTCAACACGGGGCATGGGTTGATTGCCCTCTTCAGAAGCATTTAAGGCGCCATAAGCTAAAACATTCAGAAATGATGCCTATGAGATTATGTTTCAATCGTGGAGATGAGGCTACATGTCCCCCCCATCCAACGTTCATTACTGCACATGTAATACTATAAACAAACCCTCTTAGTGTCATAGGGAGGGTTGAAAAAATTAGAGATCAAGAACACAAATACATTCTCTCTTTTTTGACATTAAAATTTTGAAGAAGAATGTTGTGTAATATTGGTGTTTATTTAGTTTCCTGGTTAATCGTTTATTATCGTATCTTTTTGTTCTTTTATTTATCGGATCCTGAACATATTTGTCTCGTGTCACAAGCTTCCTCCACGTTCTAACTCAACATTTTCGATTAGGAAACTGTCAACACGTGTTGGAATTAGCTTGTTAAAATACGAGTGAGTCCGGTATCTGTTGACGCATTTTTTGTGGTCAACAAAAATCATCTTCTATGATCACACAACAAAACGAGAAGGTATGACCAAAATGTTTAGTCCATGTTTGGTACAAATTAAAATCTATATTTTAATTTAAATCAAAGTCAATAATTCATTTTAACTACATATTTTATGGATCCCACAATTTTTCAACTACACATTTTATCAACTTTTATCAAAATCTATTAAAAATTTGATTTTAATTCCCACCAAACTAGAAACTTAGGGTCCGTTTGATTGTAAGCGTGGAAAATTGGTAGAAAGAAAATGTTTTACATGGAATTGAATTGTTTAGAAATTATTTTATTGAGAATTGTAATTAATTGTGTTTGACTATTATAATTTTTCACTCGAAAAATGTTAAAAGTTTGGTGTCTGTTTGACTTTGTTTTTTATGAAAATTGTCTATGAAAGTGATAATTTTTTCTACCATTGAATCTAGAATTTGTTCCAAAAAAAATAAAATTACCATACCGAATATCATTCGTTTGACTTTATTTGCATGAAAATTGTCCATTAAATGAAATTTTTTTTACCACTGTTGATAGATTTTTTTCCAATTGTAAAAAAAAAAGATGAAAAATCATTTTCCCACCAAAATGGTGGGAAAACCAATTCATTGATTTCAAGGAAAAAGTGGGTGGCGGGAAAATTTGAAAATTTTTTCCAATCAAACAATGCAAAAAATGAAAAACGTTTTCCCAGTTCCATGGAAAATCATTCTTGTGAAACAGGGCCTTAATATAAAAATAAAGAGATGACTACACAGCAAGAATATTAAGTTGGAAACGTTAGCTCCTATTTTCCTGAAACTTTCGAAATATTCAAAGAGAGAGAGAGAGAGAGAGTGTCGCGGCCAACAAAAAATGAAAATTATTAGAGGAAAGTCCCGGCTAGCTATCCAGCAACAAAAAAGGCAAAAAAGAACTGCAAAGTCAGTGTTTGTATGCAAAATAATTGATTGTGCCACAGACAAAGGCATCCATGCATCAACCTCAGCCTCATGTCTTGCTCCAATCTCATCTAATGTTGGTTCTCTCATTACACCAATAACAGCATCTTCTTGTTGATTTTTACATGTACCAATAATATATCTAGCTAAGTCAACGATCCATGTAAGTAACATTAAATTCAAATTCAAATTAAAACCAAGCACGTGATATTTTGAATAATGATTCAATTATAAATTTATACAGCTAGCCTTGGAATTGGATCACTCTTATGTCAGTCAGCCATGGCTAAAGTCTTGATCTTGATTTTCTTGGCTCTCTCTATCCGAGCGAGCTGCAGACAGCTCATAGAGCGTCGAAAACCAGCTGCACTCTTCATCTTTGGCGACTCTTTCTTCGACCCCGGAAATAACAATTACATTAAAACTACAACTCTTGACCAGGCCAATTTCTGGCCTTATGGAGAAACCTACTTCAACTACCCCACTGGAAGATTTTCTGATGGCCGCCTGATTTCTGATTTTATAGGTATATTTCTGATTTTTCTTTTTGAGCTACGAATTGTTCATTTGAACTGAATGAGAAATAATGTTACCTTCATGATGGCAGCTGAATATGCAAAACTGCCATTGATTCCTCCATATCTGCAGTCAAGAAATTATAACACAGTTTACTTTGGGGCGAACTTTGCATCAGCTGGAGCAGGGGTATTACCAGAAACATTTCGAGGAGAGGTATGTGTTTTTTTAAACCTCATGCAAAAGGTAAGATGGATTTTGAAGTCTCAATACGCATTGCACGAGAGTCGGTTAAACTCAAATGAGTAATTCTTTCTGTCTAAACCTTAAACGAACTATCAAATTTCAAGATTTGTATTCTCAAACGAGTTACCATCTTTCTCCGAGAATGTTAATGATAGAATCTCACATCTAATAAAAATGAAAATGTGATTTGGCTATTCTTCTTGATAAAATTGTTCTTTTAACATTGAACAGCAAGTGTATGTGTGGGAAATAACCCATATTTGACAACCATTAAAATGAGTGTTTGGAGAAAGAGCAATGCTACTGGTACATAGGCGTGTACATAATGTGAGTGGGGGTGGGGCCTACGCTACAGTGTCGTGGGCTCCACCACACTCACATTATGTACACGTTTATGTACACACCTATGTACAAGTAGATTAATCCTTGGAGAAAAACGAATTTTGAAATAGTGATTTTTTAAGAAAATGTATGATTAAAAAGTAGGAAAATTTTGGGTTTATGTTTAAAGTAATATTTTAACATGAGAATATGTGATTGAAATAAGTTTGAGAAAAAAAAAAGTTTGGTAAAAATGATAGTCAAACATGGCTTAATTTGGTGAAGACATAACTGCATTATTGTTGCCACTTAAAAAATATTGGACACGTTTTTTATTACAGACTTCACGAGAGTACAATTTTTATCGATCTTTTAACAATACATTTCATCAATTTTTATCAAAATTTATTAAAAATCTAATTTTAATATCCACCAAATATGAGTTAAATATTTGTTTATTGAGATTATAACTTAGATTCGGTGTGTGACTCATTTAATTGCACTAATAAAATATG